ACTTGCTGATTATCAACTCACAAGAGATAGAGAAAGAAGAAACATAATACCTTCAACTAGATTTAGAAACGATGACTTTGTTACTTTATTTTCTGTTTTAGACTCCTTAAACTCTGAACCCAATAGTTTTGAAAAAGCAATAAATCGTCCTGATTCTAAGCTTTAGAAGAAAGCCATGAATGAGGAAATTGATTCTCAAATAAAAAATAGAGTATGGGTTCTAGTCAACAGACCCAAAGATAAAAAGGTAGTTGACTACAAATGGATTTTCAAAATTAAAGAAGGAGACTCTAAAATCGAAAATAGAAGATATAAGGCGAGATTAGTGGCAAAAGGTTTCACACGAAAGGAAGGATTAGACTTGAATGATATTTTTTCACCAGCTGCCAAATACACTTCAATCAGAATTTTATTGGCTTTAACTACCCACTTTGACTAGGAACTGGAACAACTTGATGTCAAAACAACCTTCCTTTATGGTGACCTTGATGAAATTATATACATGAATCAACCTGAGGGCTATGAAGTTGAATCGAAGACAGGAAATGTTTGTTTGCTGAAGAAGTCTCTTTATGGGCTAAAACAGGCCCCCAGACAGTGGCATATAAAATTCAACTCTTATGTTCAGACTTTGGGTTTTGAAAAAAGCAACTATGACTCCTGTTTGTTTTTCAAAGGGTTAGGTGGACCTTAATCCATTTATTTGTTATTGCATGTAGATGATATGTTACTTGCTTGTCATGATAAATTTGAAATTGAATCTGTTAGGATAAAATTAAAGTCTGAATTTGAAATGAAAGACCAAGGTCCAGCCAGTAGAATTCTTGGCATGGAAATTGTAAGAGATAGGTCCAGTCGCACTCTTCTTTTAAAACAGTCTGCTTATATAGAGAAAATACTTGAAAATTTTTCTATGACTGAATACAAGCGTGTATCATTGCCTATTGCTAATCATTTTAAACTCTCTAGTGATCAATAACCTAAATCAGATGATGAATTAAAAAGAATGAAGAAGGTGCCTTATGCTAATGCTGTAGGATCCATCATGTAACTTATGATTTGTACCAGACCTGACTTAGCTCATGGAATTTTTATTTTAAGTAGGTTTATAGCAAATCCTGGGGAAACACACTGGTTAGCAATAAAGTTGATGTTTAGGTACTTGAAAGGTTCAATTGACCTAGGATTAAAGTTTAAAAGAACTAATGAAGTTATAATCTTAAAGAGTTATACTGATTCAGACTTTGCTGGTGATCTTGATAGGAGAAGATCAACATCCTCTTACATTTTTACTTTGTGCAATAGTTACATTAGTTGGAAATCTCAACTGCAGTAGTTACATCAGTTATATTGCTGCATGTGATGCTGTGAAAGAAAGCATTTGGTTAAGAGGATTGTTAAATGAAATTGATTTTGTTAATGAATCTGTTGGTATTCATACTGACAACCAAAGTGTCATTCATTTAAGTAAAAATCTAGTTTATCATTGCAGAACAAAGCATGTTGACATAAAATTCCATTTAATAAGAAATATGGTTGAACAGGGTTTGATCAGTCTTGTTAAAATCCCTACAAAATATAATCCTTCTGATTTAGGAACTAAAATTCTGATACTTAGTAAATTTACAAATTGCTTGAAAATTTTGAACATCACCTAAAAGACTGATCAAGTGATATTCAGAAGTTCATTTGTTGAAAACCAAACTAACTTTATTATTATTATTTTTTTACAGGTTCTTAGAGCCAATGAAGTCAAGTAAAGCTTGAATCCACTAGTTGAAACAAAGAAATAGTTCAGCAATGTGGAGATTGTTAAAGAAATGGGTTGCCTCACTATTTCTTTATTGGGCCTTATTACTTAAAATTGTCGAAGGCCCAGTCCTTTAACAATGTCACGTTTTGGAAGAACGCTTTTCTTACCCCTCTTATGGAATAGTGTGTGCCGTACACATGGCACACTCTCAACCATTGGATGAAGTTGGTTCAGTAACCGTGTTTTACAGATATTTCACTTGACCCTTGGTCTTTCGTCTTTCCTGGCTTTTACACTGGCTTTCTAGAATACTCTTTTCTCTCTCTCTGTGTGTGCGAGGGTTTTCTTCGTGATCTTTTCTCTTTGAAAAATGAAACAAAATCTTTGTGATGTATTTTCTTCTTCTGTTAGAAAGGAAAGAATTAGTGATCCGTCTGATCATTTGAGAGGAATTTTGTAATAGAAAAGAGGCTAGATAAATCGAAGAAATCTTTGATTTCTTTGAACATTTGTACGATTTCTTTGTGAAACTTAATGAATTTTGAGCATACTCTTGATTGAGGCTCAACGGGTGATTAGGTTCTTCTGAACTGAACATTCGGGCTCCTTTGGAGCAAAAACATATCTAGTGTTCTATTTTTACTGTTTTTAATTTTCTGCGATTTTTAATTCGCAAACCTTTAAGAAAATACGAGTTCATTGTATCTTTGGGACTAACACAAACATCCAATATTTTAAGCTTCGTGTCAACACCCCAAAATCTCTTCGGGGGCTCTTGATTAGGGTTTTTCAATAAACTTTTTGTCTTCCAACCATCAGCCTGAATAAAAGAAACCAAAAACCTTCCCTGAAAATCATTCATAAAAAGAAAAGCATCACTTGAATGAGTTCTCTTAGCATCAAGAACTTGAACAATCACACCATGAACCTCAATAGTAGTACAAATAGTCATTTCTGTATCAAGCAACAAAATAAGGAATTTAGGAAAGGAAAATTAGACTAGGTGTGGAAAATTTATTGATCATCATTTTTGAGATCAATATTGTTGAAATATCTGAAATCTATTTTGTTTTAATGTATATGCCTTTTGCTCAATTATTTCCAACTGTGACCGACGTTATAATCGGGTTGTGATACCCAACGAGGGGAAAAAGGATAAACTTATGGTAAAGGACAAAATTCTCTTAATGTAAATGCTAGCATATTTTGATACGTAAACATTGATTAGACTGCTTTCGGGCGGAGGGGAAGGGCGCGAGGGGAAGGTTCGATTAGACTAAACAATAATTACAAAAGTTCTAGATTTTTTTTTCCTATTCTAATATTGTTTAATTTTATAATGTCGATATGTAAGTTTAATGTTGATGAGAATAAATCCTGTCAACGCGCAAGAAGCAAGCTAAATAATAAATTAAATTTTATATTCAATAAATTTTGAATTGGCCATACGAAAATTTTCCATTTTATTCTTTCTAATCAATTGAAAAATTTAAAACAACTAAATTCTTAATAATTGTAAGATAGTGTGTTAATCTTAATCTACTCGCACTTATAAATTGTTCCGACTTTGGACACCTTTAAGCGACCACTTAATTTGTGGTGAACATAATTTAGCCCCTATTTGGTACAAATTAAAATTAAGATTTTAAATCATGTCAAAGTTAATAAATAATTTTAATCTTATATTTTATGGAATACATAACTTTTCAATCACACATTTTTATAACATTTATCAAAATTGAGAGATGCTAGGGGGACAGGGGGCATGTGGCGCCCCCCTATTGGAGGGGTAGCTGCCCCCTGTCCCAATTCCCTTTCCCAATCCCCTGTCCAAGAAGCTTAACACATCAAAATTTATTAAAAATCTGATTGGGGTATAGTAAAAACAAAAAAGGAAGAAATCATACTTTTAACATCTTGAATTTTTAGATATAACAGTCTAACGTATAGGAGTCTAAATAATCCAAATGGCCACCCTTTACAAGTGTTTGCCCTTTATTGGGAGAGGAAGAGATTTGACAGTGATCTGATTGGGAGCTCCAAAGCTGCACTGGTACAATTCAATGCATGCAAGTTGAACTAAACAAATATGCATTCTTTGGTGGGTCCAAACAGCAACTTCCAAGCTCATACACACAAAAAACATGGTAATTTTACTAATACTTTACCCTTAATGATATTTTACAAAATGACAATCAAATTCAATCTGTAGGCGACATGGCTCCTTTTAATTGGCAGGATAACTTATTAGGTTATCTTCTTACTATTGAAGTGTTCTAAACATATAACTATAGGCAGGTCCTCACGAATGAAGATGTACAAAATGTATCAAGAAGTTTCTGACTTTTTTCATCATACTGAATTCTAATAATTGGATTTGTAACTATTGTGCCTTCAATGGAACGTTTTCCTAAATGAAGCCCTCAGTTTTGGTTAAATACTTTTTTCCCTTGTTCTTAGTCAACATAAAGAATGTAAAAAACTACTTTCCCCTCCAGTAAATAAATAAGAAAAAGAAAAGTTGGAGAAGTGGGTAAAATTGGGGTAACAACGGAGTTAGTCTATAAGGAAAAGGAGTGTGGAAGGGAGAAGGATATGGAGGGCTAGGTGGGAGAGCGGAGTTGGAACTGACAGGGACTGAGATGAGCGGCTTGGAAAAGGGAGTTAGGTGGGACTTGGATAAAGAGAGGACCGGTAGTGTGGTCTAGTTAACGAAGTAGGAGAGGAAGTGAGAGCGCGAGGTCTAAGGCATTCTAGAGGATTGGATGGAAAGGCGGGGTTGTACTCATTTTCATCATTCGATGAGTATAGTGCATGTTTGGCAAAATTAAATTATAATTTAAGCTGATCAAACATACTTTATACTCACACGTGTCAAAGAACTTATTCTTTATAGACACTTAAGAGTACTCTAAAATGTATTAATAATGTTTTCTTTTGCCTAAATCATCACTTTGTCGCTAGTGAAAGGAGATTGTATAAATTTATCATCGTACTCCAAGTTCGGAATGATCATATCTTCTTCATAGTATCCATGAATATATCCAAAAGGTTGGTGACCTACTTGCTACATTTCTTATATGTTGAGAACTCAACTATAATATTCTCGTGGATGGGACCCATTGATCACGTGAAGACGTGGGTGTCTAATGAGAGACGAGAATCCTTAAAAGACAGAAAAATGGTGGTTTAAAAATCCCCTAATCCCTTCTCCACCAATTATCATTCATCTCCCACGTGGGACCTTGGCCCCACCCCTACCATTTCCTCTCCTTTGGCTCTATATCATCTGATCATCACCTCATTATATACTGCCCTCTGCAAATACTCTACTTGCAAGAACTTGTGCGAACCGCATGCTGTTATGGGAGAATCTTCTGCATCATACATACACATGGTAATCAATCAATCCTGACGCCTTATAAGTGTTCTTTATCTTCTTATTTAGAACTGATTATTCTTGCATGTTTTGAAGCCTGCTGTCATTTTGCATCTTTTGTGGCCTTCTAAACCATTTTTTATGAGCTTTGATCTGTTTATTTTAATGGGTTTTCATCTGTTTTAGGTACAATATCTTATTGAAAAGTGTTTGATCTTCCACATGACAAAAGAAGAGTGCATGGAAGCCCTTTCCAAGCATGCAAACATCCAACCAGTTATTACTTCCACTGGTTTGCCCCCTAACCGAATCCACTACTTATAATTTGGATAAGCCTATTAACTCCAAAGCATATAATTAATTACTGTAAACCCCGACTTCTACAAGTAACACGGAGATCTGTCCATGTTTTTTGCGGGGATCTCTATCTTTTGAATTTCCTAGTATGGAGGAGAATATATATATGATGCATATGAATATATAGAATCTATTGTTTCCTCTATTATTGCAAACTTGTTTGTTCTTAAAACTTTCAGGGCCATCTCACTAAACCGTACTAGAAAGTACAACAGATGAGATTTTAATTTTTACTTCTTTAATACTATCCAACTATTAAGAGCCAAACAAGGTATGATCGACTTTGATTATATCTATGAATTGGTTTGCAGTTTGGAAGGAGTTAGTGAAAGAAAACGAAGGGTTCTTCCAAGCATATAATGAATCTCAAAGCAAGAGAGATAAGATGTCGGAGGCTGAGACGAGTGCCATGATCCAGAAGATGATAACAGATCATGATTCTTCCACCATGAAACCCCAAGATTCATCCTCTCAGTAACTGATCATCTGGAAATGATCGAATCAGATTGAGCATACAAAGTCACATATGCACAAACAAATATAAAATCACATTCCCTTAAATACGCTGAAAGGCATACTCAGAGGGGAACAAATCGAGTAGGATCCGATGCAGTACGACACGTGGGATTCTTATGTCTGGTGAATTTGGCTGTAAAATATATACTCATAAGTCTCATATACTAAGGCAGTAGAGAATATATATTGGATGTGACTGAGCAGAATGTGGTTATTTGTGTGTGTCTTATGCTGTTATTATTGAATAAAGCATAATAAGTGGGGGATACTTCCTGTGTCACCATCATTGTCTTTAGAATTATTTGTCTGAACTCTGAGGAAGAAATAGGGTCACAGGTCAGTGTCAGAACCAAGAATTTAACATTATTAAATGATCTAAGATGCTCTTAAAGGAAAATACTACGTGTACACCAATGCATTACACTCCTCTCACATGGAGGGGGATCCACGAATATTTTATTGTGTGTGAACCCCCTTCCATGTGAGGGGGGAGGGTTGTAATGCTATGTGTACATATAACATTTACCTAAATAGAAATGGAACTACAGATGCAAACATTATACTGAAAAATGTTCTTTATAAAATGTTGTGTTATCAATTAAAAATTACAAAGATTTAATGGCGGATTCATGTCTCTTTCAAGTGAATCTTGATAAAGTCAACCAAAGTATGAAAGAACACACGATGAAATAAGCGAATATTTGTGATGAGAGGCTTTATGATTAATTTAAAGCGTACACAACGAGCAAGTGTACTTAACTGATTTTACCAACTATTCCACATCAGTAAAAACCATTACGAAAGCGCACGTGACTTTAAATGTAAAGCATGACTTCATAACCAATAAATAAGGAATGCATCAACATGTGAATAGAACGTGAAAAGCTAACACATTCAATTACAATAACTAATCAATGGTTGTCGTGTGACATAAATGCAAAAGACTTAATTGCCCACATGACCTCATTAGAAACCTATAAATAAGGATGGTTGGAAACAAGTAAAAGCATGCAAATTTGAAGTATCGTCATTTCTCTTATTGCTCCTATTTGAGCATTAAATCAATAAGTTTAGAAGGAGAAACTTTTAATTAGGATAAGAGGAATTTGTTTATATTATGTCGAGGTCATAAAAAACAGAACAAAGGAAGTCATGATCTCATCGTTCTGGGCAAAATCCATTGAATAAGTTGTCTAAAGATGAGCTAAGTAAAAGCGGATCTTAATAGAAGCATTGAAATCTGAAGCTGAATTCCCAAGCTATGATCACGAAGATAGTGACAATCNAAAGAGGCAGCGAGAAGAGCTCAAAGAAGATAGAATGAAGAGCTTAAAGGAAACAATAATTCAGTCAGTATCCAATCTTATACGAAAAAGATGATAGCAAAACAAAGAATGGTAAGCAAGCTGGTAGTAATTGAGCCTTGGAAAATATGATAACGTTGATTGAAATAAACCACCCTGTAGAAGAGAAATTTGAAGTTGATGATTCAATTGACCCTCGTATCGTGAATGTATATCTAAAGATGCAGCAGTTGAAGAGCTAAAAAGCTTTTTCGTCAACAAAGAGGACGCAACCAAGGTTGTAAAAGTTGGCAAAGATTTGGTTGAACCTATGAAAAAACTACTAAAAGACTTAAAAGCAAAACTCGATGTGTTCGCTTTGAAGCATTTTGATATGGTTGAAATTGACCTAAAAGTGATATGTCATGCACTGAAAATCAATTTCAAAGCAAAACCTGAAATGCGAAAAAGGTGCTAATGAGATCTGAAAAATGTGAAGCTTTAAAAAATGAAGTTTATAAACTATTGAAAAATGTTTAATTTATGAAATCAATATTTGGAGTGAGTTTGCAACCTAGTTCTAGTCCTGAAAAGTAATGGAAAGTGGCGAACTTGTCAAAACTTCACAGACTTGAATAAATCATATCCTAAAGATAGTTTTTTGCTATCTAAAAGTGACCAACTGGTGGATGGGATCGCATGACACGAATTATTGAGTTTCATAGATACATACTTCAGATATAATCAATTCCCAATTTATGAATAAGATGAGGAGCATACTACCTCTATAACTGATCAAGACTTATATTGCTATAAGGTAGCCTTTCGTCGAGAAAAACACTGGGGATGTTGGAAATTAAACATGATTCATGAATGATGAAAAATTAAATTTGATACATGAATTAATTTATTTAATATTCACGTATTTATTTAAATCATGTATCCAAATGGTTCTTTGTATCTTATTATTCATAGTATGTAAGAAAAGTCATTAATTAGTCTCTTAAGTTTATACCATGTCTTTGGGATCATTTGTATCTATAAAGACCTTGTGCTTGAGACATTTTATAAAGCCAGCCATAGAATACAAATATTTTTTAGAGAAATCTCTGAATTTTCTCTCTAGCCTCTCTTTCCATAATTTTTATTTCCCACAAAGTGGTATCAGAGCCATTTTAAAAGATGAATAATTCATTTCCTTTTGTTGTTCCCAAATAACAAAGGAAAATTAGGATGTTGGAGCATATGCATGAAGGCGTTGCTCGGCTCACAGGGGACATGGGAAGTTGTAGAGAAAAGCTATGATGAACTAGAAAATGAAGGAACTTCAAGTCAAGCTCAAAGGAATGCCTTGCAAAGGTACTGTAAGTTAGATCAACATGCTCTCTCTCATATTCACATGGCCTTAGATGAAGTCATGTTCGAGAATGTTCCTTTCTCAACAAATGCTAAGAAAGCTTAGGAGATTCTCGTGAGCAATTTCAAGGGAATTGAAAAAATGAAGAAGGTTCACCTTCAAATCCTTCGTGGGGAGTTTGAATCTCTAAACATGAAAGAGTCTAAATTTGTTTTTTACTATTTCACTATAATGTCCTCCATTGTCAATCATATGAAGCGGTACGAGGAGAATATTGAAGAAAGTCGTATCATCTAGAAATTCTTAGATCACTTGACTCAAAACTTGAGTTTGTTAGTATTGCTATTGAAGAGTCCAATGACTTGGATACCATGACCCTTGATTAACACATGAGGTCCTTGCAAGCATATGAAGAAAGATTGAAGAAGAAAGGAGAACTGATGGCATAAGTTCTGCAAGCGAAGGTCTCTTTAGGAGATCAAAAGAAAGAGCAAAGATAATCTCAAGGAAGAGGTAAAATTCGTGGTCGAGGTTGTGATTGTGGATGAAGTTATGGTCGTGGTAATGAAAGAAATGATGGAAAACACAATTGGAATAATGAAGGATCAAACAATCAATGAGAGGATGAGGCTGTTGGAACTATGGCTCCAAGAGAGGTGGCGGAAAAAAGTATGACAAGTGCAATATTCAATGTTACACTTGTCATAAATATGGTCATCATGCTTCTGAATGTAGGAGCGACACCACCAATAATGAAGAGAGAGTTAATTATGTTGAAGCAAAGGAAGATGAAGAATTGTTGTTGCTGTTGGCAACCAAGGAAAAAAATGATAAACAATCGTGGTGCATTTTAGTGCACTTATTTAATGCACAAATATGACTAAATCACGAGAAAAGTATTTGAATTGTGGCTTAAAGTTGTTTAATTCTTGGATTGTAGGGTATAGTGATTGACATTGTGGAATTCACGAGAAAAAGAAGCAAAAATGATCAAAATGAATCAAAATGAAAGTTCAGGGACCAACATGCAAATATCCAAAAGATGAACCAAAGGAGCAATCAAAGATTCGATCGAGCCAAATATCAATTGGAGGTTAATATTGATAGAGAAAATGAAAAAAAGGAAGAAACGAGGCCAAGAATGTGGAAAATGAAGTTCAAGGACTTATATCGACTTGTGGAAAAAGGGGCACCTATGCGGTTGCATAGGTTATACCTATGCGATCGCATAGGGGCCAATCGAAAGTAAAATGCCAAAAATTTTTTAGAAATCGAAGGGTCGATTTTGCAGTTTTCCTTTTACGTTATAACTCTATTGGAACACGATTTGGATGCGATATAAAAGTCTAGACTCGTTAGAATTAGGGCTAGAACGCATCGAAGGAGAACAAAACACTTCTTGGAGACCAAATTGAGGGAGATCAACAAGATATTTCACGAAGAACATTAAGATTTCATCAAATTTCAATATCCGGTGATGTTTTATTTTCAATTATTCATGTATTCCATTAGATTTTCAATGTTAGACTAAGTTTTTTCATGCTAGGAGAATGATGAACTATATGATTTTTTGATTTTAATTTTGCAATTTGATAAATTAAACGCATACTTGATCTATTGAATGATTTATATACATTTATTTCATCCATGATTGAGTGCACGCGATTGTGTGATGTGTAGTGATTTATTTCTTACATTCAAGAGAAGGGAGATATATTTGACAAGGTATAGATCATCGTAGGGTCCGAGAGGGGATAGAAATATACCTTTATGTCTTGTGTGATTCTTTAATTGCTCATAAAACCCCATGTATTCTTATATATATGCATCTGTCATAGAAATATAAGCCGGTGATACATAAGAATAGGTTAAATATTGCTCGAGAGAGTGTGTTGGATAGACTTAGGAGCATTGAATCATCAATAATCAAATTATGTTATCAGATTGTGAAATTGGGATTTCAAGTGATTGTTATATAGGAATTCGTGATCCTAGTGTTTTCTAATTTCATCGAATACAATCAATTTTGCATTTCAATAATCATTTTGCGATTAATTTCATTTGAACACATAGCTTGCATAATCAAATCATTTAGCGAAAGTAGGGTTTTCATAAATTAGGATTTACTAAATTAGGGTTTTTCTAAGAATAAATTCCTGTTTTGACAAATTCGTTTCAGTTAAGGCTAAGATAGATAAAATTGAACTACTCAATCTTTGTGAGACGATACTTGGAACTTAGTATTCCACTTTATTACTTGTTAACGAACCGTACACTTGCGAAAATTTTAAGTCGAAAGAAATATTTCGTGAACAGATACCTTGACACCGGTGCTGCCAATAACATGAGTGGCAACAAGGAGTTATTCTCAACAATAAATGAGTCGGTGAAAGACAACATTGTTTTTGGAGATGAAACCAAAGTTCCAATAAAAAAGCAAAGTTGATGTTCTTATTTGTGCTAAAAATGGAAGTCATCTTTTGATTTCTCAAGTTTATTATGTACCTACTCTGAAGTCTAATATTTTGAATTTAGGACAATTACTTGAGATTAGCTATGACATTCACTTGAAAAATCGTTGCCTTACTTTGAGAGTTGTTTCTCATAAACTGATTGCAAAGGTGCCAATGGATGATAATAGAATGTTTTTACTCA